GTTGTAGCTTACAAATAGAATGAAAGTAAGCACCCATTACGGTCCGCAAGTCGAAGAGTGACAGACTAAAAGATACTCTGCAGTACGTGGCCTTCAATTTGAAAATTTCAAATTTTTGCGTTGCTCTAAACATAATCAGTATTTAATATAAATATATTTACTGATCATGAATATATACATATATACATATATAATATAATATATATATTCTTCTGCTTCCTTTTGCCTTTGCATATTACATTCGCACATTTGTAATCTGTGTCGCTTTTCGCCCCTTATTAATAGGCACGGGGTATAAAATAATAAAACTTTTCGCCGTGGACGGCGACGTCGCAGCTAGCGTCGCTGCCGACTCTTGCGCCTTTGTCGCCACAACAGCAGCCGCTTGTTGTCATTTTCATTGTCGGTTGCTGGCGCAGGCAGCGACGCCATCGTCGCCATTGTTGGTTGGTTTGGTCATGTGACTTGAGTTGTATGGAGCAACTGGTTGTTGTTGTTGTTGTTGTTGTTGTTGCTGCTGATATTATTGTTTTTGTTGTTGTTGCTGTAGTCGCTTTGGAAATCTGTTTTTATTTGCACGCTCTCTTTCATATATATATATTTATATACACACATACAACGATAGAAAAAGAGAGTCCACGCTGTGTAATATGATTAACAGATGTTGCCGAATGATTTGATTATGGCCACCAATTACATTTATATATAGTGTCAAATGCCGTCATATATATATATGTACATAAATATGTATTTAAATCAATTTATAGTAAATCCAAAGGGCTAATACAATGCCTAATTCAACGCGTTCACTGATAAGGCATCAACATATCAATCAAAATTATTGTACAGCTTGCCTTGGCCCAAAGACGAGACAGTCGACGTGGAAGGCAGAAGAGTGAGGAGGCCGCAATCTGCTTCAAGTGCTGGCCAGAGTGGCTCTTTAAACATACACATACATACATACATAAATGCAGACATATATAAGCTTTTGCATATATGAGTTAATGTATTGCTTTGTATGTATTTGCTTAGTCTTGTTGCCTTGTTTTTTTCTTTTCATTTTTATTTTATTTTATTGTTCGCTTTTGTTTTGCATGCGTAGCTGAAAAAAATAAATAAAGCATGTGATCCCATGGCGTATGCCAAGAACAAGCAGAATGGGCAACATCTCGCAGCATAGGAGTGAGCGAGAGAGCAAGACAGCAGCATATCAGCAAGCAGCTCAAGAGCTCTTCACTCTGCAGTCAAGCACTGCACCGAAGCAATACATACCCTTGCACTACAGAGCAGAAATTACTCTTCTCTTCTTCCATTCCACTCTTCTTCTCCTGTAGAGTGAAGCACTTGTAAATAATCGTTACCTACAACCTTGTCTCGCTGAGTTCGATTACCTTGTGGCATTCAATCGAAGTGCCACGGAATACTCTGGAAATTTATTTTTAATGGGTATTTTATAGTTATATATACTCTAATAATACATTTTTAATTGCCAAATGAGAGAGAACGTGTTTCGCTTAAACTTTAAATTTCACCATTGCCTTTTTCTTTGCAATCAGTTAAAAAAGTTCTGCGAAATAATCGAATTTACAACTAACAGCTGAAGTACGTAGAAGATAATAATTAGGCTAGGCTAACTATAAATCTATGATATATAAGAGCTTTATTATAGCAAAATTTATAATTAGATTTGCAATTGTGACGAAATTTCCAAGCAATCTTTATGATCCATAATCATATCACTATTTATAGACTTTATAGAGTGAAAAACATTTATATATATGAATATATATCATAATAAAGTTATTATAACCTTTAATATACACAATAAATATTATTATATTTAACATTTTCATCAATATTTATAGTTTCTGTAGGAAAAGTTTGGAGTCTTATGCCATTTTTGATAGAATTAAACTCCTAAGTAATGTCTATTTGCCTTTTATGGACATGAACTGATAAAGAATAAATTATATCTATATATATATATATATATATATATATATATATATATATATATATATATATATATATATATAATTATTAGATCGAATACGCCATCAAATATAATCCAAGCTATCCAACTAAGCATTTATTATAAACAAATAAAAGGCAATTGAACGTTAAAAAAACCCACACACCCAATGAAAGTGCGTAGACCCTGCTGATAAGTCGACAAATTTAGCGATCGTTCGATAATTATATATGTGCTCATTGATCTCTTTTTTGCCATGGCTGATCGACGCGCCAGGTGACGCGCTGACAGGGTGACAGGTGATAGTTTGCTGGTTGCTCCATCGCTCATAGCTCACGTAGACCCCAAGTCAGGTGCAAAGGTTAATTATTATTATTATTATTTTTTTTTTCAATATAAGTTTTGCACTAACTAAAACTTGGTGAACTTTGGGCGCCAGTTGCCGGCTCTAAACAAATCCATGAATTGTCTCGACTGTTAAATATTTTCAAAACACAATATATTAACACATCACATCGTCTGACACTCCCAAGACAAGGTATATATGTATATATAGGAGGGTGCCATACATGTGATGCTCGCAGCTGGACGGGAATCATGTGAGCGCGCGCGCTCCTCAATTGATGCCGCTTGCCCCAGCCCCAGCTCAAATCGTTGCCTATCTGCATAACTATATATATAAGCTATATATACATATATAAGATATAAGAGTGTATATATATATATATCGATCATGCGAGTACTTGTTCGTACTGGCGTTCATATTCAGACTCGTTCTGTTTATCGTCGTTTATTTAGTCGACACCGGGACGATCCGATGCGATCCGATTGCGGTTCCGATTCCGATTCCGATTCCCTAGTAGACAGTTCCCCCATTCGCCATTTACGATTCGTAGCGCCTTGAACTTCATTTGTCGTCTAGCATCGCGACCATTAAGATTGTTTTTCCATAACGTCGCGATCTTAAATCGTATTTTTTTTGTTTTTTTTTTCGCAACTGTAAATGTAATTACGCTCGGTATTTAGTTACGTTTGATCAACATATCGATTAATATCGATTCGATGCGCATGCATACGGCGCCATTTAAGTATGGGTACGTCTCCAGTTGGACTTCAGCTGGATTCTTATTAGAATGTCGCTAAGTCTTTAAGTACAAACGGACCGACCAAATTCTGGGGCACACAAGCACACGCCTACACACACTCACACACACACACACACACACGCACCAACATATGTAGATAGAGAAAGAGGGAGACAGAAAGACAGGGAGCACACTCGTGATCCAGTCGGGCCCACTAACTAATCTATGTATGTGTACACAAAAATTCCCCCCGCCTTATCGCGGTGGCATAAAACAAAATGAAGCAATAAAACAGGTGCCTCCGCGTACCCCCACCTGCCCGCGGGCGGACCCAGCTCCAACTCTGCCACTAGCAGTCATAAGCAAACAGAAAAATTCGTTAATTATAGCGCTAATTTAGGCAGTTGGCGCAGTTTCAATTTAGTGCTACTTATTGTTAGACGAGCCATTTATAAACCCCACTAAAAATAATTTAGCTCAAATCTGCGACGCCTCAAATTTAAGTGGATGTGACGGCGTGCCTAATGGAAAAGTCGCAAGCCACAGGAATGCGACTCATAATTTGAATTTCCCTTAACACTAATCCCAACTAGTCGTCTCAATGGTCAATCCAGTTATCGGTCATAGTTGCCAGATCTTATCGTGTTGCTACTCGGTGACATCGTAAATGCGAATCAGCGAACATAAAAAGCGAAGTCTTCAAAGCAATCGCCATTTCGGGCAGATTTTCATTTTATCGTGACGAATCGTCACGTGCCAAGTGATTCTATTTATAGAGCGGACAACATTTACCCAAATGACCCACTCGACAATAAAATAGCGCAAAGATGTGCGCATTATACGAAAGTCGTCAGCAATTCGCCTAGACAGAGACAGAGATCGAGATAGAGGTGCAGACTGCGAGGCAGAGCGAGACAGCGACAGTTAGAGCGACATAGACACTGCAGTTGATCGCTGTATTGGAGATGAGCAATTGCTGCCTGTTAAAAAGGTATCTGAGTCACGGATCACATTTCGATCATCAGATATCAAATCACATGAGCACTTGAGCTCATCGCAAGATCAACAAATGTACTCTAAGTAAACTTTGCGATTGAGCTATTCAAATGGAATTACTAAATTTAGCAATGAATTCAAAGAAATATCGGTTTTATGTTAAATGATCAATGACTAAATTAATCAATTGATATAAATTGAGTATTTGTAAGGCTCTGAGGCGTAGCTCGACATCTGTTTTTGACACCGGGTTACAGATGCGGATTGAAATGTTGACATTAAGGTGGTTACAGGGTATTTTTTAGTAGTAAAATATCAACTAAAGATATTTTTTGAATTCTGGTTATTTAAGGAGCTCTTTTAGCTAGGTAGAGGGTATTTGTGAGTGATAAGTGTAAATCTGGAGAACTATTCCAGACGTACAGGGTATTTCTGAGCAATAGGTTAGCATTTAGAGCATATATTCTATACATACAGGGTATCTTTTGCTAATATTTGTTCAACTATGACTCTTTAAAATAGGTTTAGGATATTTTCTAGTAGACACTGTTCATGCAGAATTTTCTAATATTTTTATACTTGGATACAGGGTATTTTTTAGCACTGATGTGTTTGTCTAGAGTATGTACTCAAAGCTGGGTACAAGTTAAGAGTGTTCGCTTGTTTAGAGATCTTGCATATACTTGAAGCTGAGTACAGGGTATCTGCTGGTAGTGATCGCTTATAAGATCAGTTCTTGTAACTATGTATAGGGTATATATCTTTCATCTAATCTTTTCAGCAGTCTTCAATATCTGCTACTAATCAAGCTATATGTTTTCTTGGGAGTTAAGAAAGAGTGCCAACAATACTTTCCTCTCTCATAAGTTTTTCTGCTCTCTTCAGCTGTTCCCATGCTCTCTCTAACACAAAACTAATAGTCGCTTTATTGGTATTTCCCTTTACAGCCAATTCCCCTTCGATGCCAGCCAGGTGCGCGTGCTGCTGTACAGAGAGGACGACAGCCATGGCAGACGTCTGCTGTTCGACTCGCATGCACTGCAGAAGGTGACGCTAAAGGATTCAACCAACAGCAGCAGCCGTAGCGGCGGTAAATTCCTCAAGAATGACAAATTCACATCGCTGCAGAATGGCAAGATCCAGGCCAAAGCACATTCCAGCAATAGCAACGGCAGTAATTTGATCGAAGTATGTCCCGAATATGGGTACAAGGTGAGCAGACCTCAAATCAAAGTCCTGATTAATTTATTAACTCTATCTATCTATCTCTCTCTCTCTCTCTCTCTCTTATCTCGCAGCACAATCGTCCAACGGGTGCGGATATTACGCCCATTGGCGAGATGGTCTTTGGCTCGCTGGCCATGTCCTTTTGTGGCACAGCGCTCAAGGTGCACTGGCTGCCGCAGCCAGCTAGGATACTCTGCTCCCAGGTGTATCTGACGCCCTCGGCGAATGGTGTGGCGGGCGGTGCCGGAGCAGGGGGTCAATCACCCTATTCCACGGTCTCCATGAACAGCCTAACGCCTCGCAGCTCCATTTGCAGCGAGCATGGCTCCATGGACGGTCTGTCTATGAACTCCTTCTCCATGCCGTTCAGCGTTAGTGTGGGCAGGCATATGAGTCTGACCCCACCGCTGGACGTGCCCGCACCCGATCAGCAATCACTGTCCATTGCGGACAGCGGACCGCGCTTCTCCTCCACCTACAGCAATGCCACCGATTCGGGTTACTCGGCCAGTGCCAGTGGCAGTGGCACAGGCGGCGCCTATTCCAGTGGAGACCAATGGTCGTATCAGTATTCCACGCGCAGCAGCTTTGGCAGCGTACTCTCCGATCAATCGGATGCGATGCGCAAGCTCAGCCTCGACGACTGGGCCATCTATGCCAGTTCGCCCCATCTGGATGAGTTTGCCAGCGACGGCTGCTTGCAGCGCCGAATCTCGCGCAATTTGCGCACCTCCTTCGAGTACGAGCATTCCAAAAACGACTTCATCGGCTTCTTCAGCGACAACTATGCTGCGATCACAGGCCAGGCAAATGGAAGCAATTCGGCTGGAGCGGCCAATGCCACCGGCGGCAGTGAAGGCAGCGGCATGGCTCCACCTCAGTACAGGCGGGCGAGCTACTGTGCGAATGAGTCGCGCAGCAACCCAGAGATGGGTCGGCGGCAGGCGAATCTGAAACGGAGACCAAGGCTCGGTCTGGCTGTGTGCATTACCATGAGCGAATCCTTCGAGGAGGAAATGGAACTGTTCTGCAGCGAACATATTGCTCTGCTGGAGTCGATGCTGAGTCGTCTGAGGGCAAGTACGGAGCACGCCTACATCAATCACAAGAACTTTCTGCAGGTGAGTTGCCTTGCAGATCGCATAATTGTCGTATTGCAAATAACAGAATCGATGTCCCTGCAGATCATGTTCCAGGCCTGGCAGGACACGCAGCAGTGGTTCAGCGATCTGTTTACTGCGCCCCGTATTAAGACGCCCGTTTGGCTGAGCATTACGACCAGCGGCAGCAAATACTCCAAGACTGTGGCAGAGCGATTCATCAAGGAGCTGTGCGATCTGCTCTCCTTTGCCGACACCAAGGACTCCAATTTGTAAGACATACATCCTCAGTCCTCAGTCACGTTCAGGTGATTCTTATACTTCTATCTCCTCTGCCTGCAGCTTCATCAGCACCATGTTGACGGGCATACTCACCTACCATCTGGGCTGGGTGGCTACCGTATCCGCGTTCAACAGCTCCAGCTCGCGTCGCTCCAGTGCTTCTGCCTCTGCGGCGGCGATTGAGCAAAGGGCTAAACTATTGCAGGTCTCGCAGAAGCATCCGTATAATGCGCTATGGGCGCAGCTGGGTGATCTGTATGGTGCCATCGGTATGCCACCCAAGCTGGCGCGCACCATTATTTATGGCTCGGAAAAGATGTGGGTGGAGAAGCTGCTCAATGTGCTCACATATTTCATACGCTGCAGCGAGGTGCGACGTGCAGCCAAACGAGAGGACTTCAACAAGCAGCTCATCAATGAGCTGGTCATTAGCCAGAGCAATCAGGAGCGGTACAGGAGTCCGCCCACAATGCGAAGCCGCGCAGCTGGAGCTGGTCCTGGCCTTACTCGGACAAGCACCTGCAAACAGAATCTGAATGCGATTGTGGACGATGCTGATTTGGAGCAACAGCAGCTGAACGAACTGAACAGCGGCGAAGATGAGGAGTTGGATGACTTGCTGGAGCCGGATGCCAAGTTTATCGGCACTTCGAAGAAGAATGAGATTCCCAATGTGCTGGCATTTCGCGATTCGCATTTTGTGCAGCAGGAGCTGCGCATTGGCAACTACCTCATGGACACGGGAATCGAAAAGAAGACCCTGCTCGCACGCCAGGCTCAACAATATCTGCGCACAGACAAGGATGGACGCATACGGTTAACTGTAACGACGCCGGAGAATGTGGAGCTGTGCATGGAGGAGGACTCGAATGCCGGCTCTGTTGGCACCGGCGGCAGCATTGATGATGGCGCCATCGAAGCTCTGGAGTTCGATGAGAGCCGAACGGCCACAACAACAGCAGTAGAAACGGAACAGAATTCTGTGTTGCCCAGCAAGAAGAACTTCTTCTGGAACATTGTACCCACTGCAGGAGTTAAAGAGGGGCTCAGTCTTAACGATATGGTGCAGCAGGGTGTGAAGATCATAAATCGCAAGCTCGAGCGCCGCTGCAGTAGTTATTCCGTGGAGACTGACACCTCGCCCGTTGGCAATGATCTGCAAGAGCAACTTAGCCAGGATCGACGTGTCTCACATTTGTCGCTCTCGTATCTAATCACACAGAATAGCATGGGCAAGAGCGATCGCATGACGTGGGGCATTGAGCCCATCAAGGAGAATGTCAGTCTCGAAGAGCAAATCCACTTTGATCTCTCTCAGAAACTCATTGAACGGGACCACGGCATTTGCCGCCAGACCTCAACGGACAACGGCAATGGCGTTGTGTTTGTCTTAGGTGACAATGAGCCGCTGATCAATCTAAAGAAGAGCAACGAGGATCTCACAGACGATGCCAAGCCAGCAATGCTGTGCGCCCTGCATCAGCACACACATAACGCCTCTATGGCCAACAAAAAGAACTCAGGCATACAGTTTAATTTCGCGAAGTATCCGCAGATTGCAACCAACTACATGAAGAGCAAGAATCTGCTCATGTCCAACTATGATCTACTCATGGATAAGGCCAGCAAGCTGGAGGCCAATGAGTCATTGAAGTCCAGCGACAGCAGCGTAACCCTCCAACAGCAGCAAGAGCAACAACTACAGAAACAGCAGCAGCAACATCAAGCGGAACTGGCAGCCAGCAGCAGCTCAACGATTTCGGCCACAGCTGTGGGCAGCGATCGTTGCATATTGTGCAACAGCGGTGGCACATACCAAACGCCCTCCAATGCCACCGAGCTGGAGTTTGAAACGGATGAGGTGCATTGCTATAACGAGAGCAGCAATAACAGCTCCAGCGCTCTGCAGCCGGTCAACTCGGCTGCCTCGATAGATACGCTAAAATCTATGCCCGAGCCGCCAACTACGCCCAGCTATACGAGACGTGCGCCACCCAAACGTGTGCCCTCCCAGCGCAGTTCCGTCTCCTCGGTGGCTGCCAAGTGTGCTGCTGTTAATGAATCCCAGCAGATGCTGAAGCTGCCAGTACCTGGCATCAAGGAGCTGCCCCAGGAGGATGAGCCACCAGGCGATAAGTTACGTGCCGGTTTCATTCCATCGCTTATGCTGAGCGTAAGCGATCACTACGTCTCCGATATGGTGCTGCAGGGCACCTGTGCTGCGCCCTATAAGTGGGAAATGAATCTACGTGAGGATCTGGCGCTGGCCGCACGTTCCGCCTCACTAATCTCACAGCCAGCGGAGAACATAGCCATTGTAGCGGACATGGACAAGTGGGATGTGCGCCTAATCTCCTCACAGGCGCAGCAGTTTCCTTACGCCGGCGGCCAAAGCTCCCCGGTGGGCATGTCCCAACTGGTTTCGAGTATGCTAGAAGCTGTACAGGCTATGCACGTGGGCGGCATACCCGCTTATGAGGTGAGTCCATATCATGTCGGACTTTCCACAGATAAAACTAATAGATTCCGCCTTTGTAGTGTCTGTCCTTTTTGGAGTCCAAGCTGCAGGAGATCTATATGCAATCTGAAACTCTAGCCGCCTTTCTGCTGGAAACAGATCCCTGCCGGTTGGGGGACATAACAACGCCGCTGCAGCTCTCGGAGAACGATGTACCGCTGCTGCTCTCCATTGCCTACATACACACGCCGAAGATCAGCCGTAAATGCGGCATCAGCTTCAGATGACAAACCCGTCGAAGCCAGACCAATCATTGCCAACACATATTTAATATAACAAGCACACATCATCATACAACGTCATCTCACGCATCATCCAAAGCGAAACAAGCAAATACTCCAGCGAATTTTTATTTCACTGACTTTGTGATATATATTTATATGAATAATATAGCGTATAGTGAAAGCAGGCTAAATTTAGGTAGGACTTTAGTTAAGGCAGCTTAACATAACAAACAAACAAACAATGAAACACTCATATAATATAGAAACACTCATGCACCGTTCATCGATCATCGCATAAGCACATTTAATAACTATTATAACTATATATACCATACAACGTTTTAATTTAGGGAGCCCACTCATCGCAGTCACATTAAGAAGTATTGTAAATTATTTGATCTAGATTTAGTTAGCGTGATTATATGTTCACGATTTAGCAGCACTCCAGTCTGTTATCGATCGATCGATCGATAGACCGGGCGAACGACCGACAGATAGACAGACGGACCGACCACTGTATCATGTGCTCGAGCAACGTGTAGTGTTTGTATTAGGTTTAATAATTTATGACAGCAATAATCTATTAATCGATTTAATTATATTATACAACCATACAATATACGTATAAATAAGTTTATACTGAAATTAAATATGGGGACATCGGTTAGCATTCGGGAATTAACTATAAACACACGTGTATACGTAAGCAATGAATAAGTTTATATAAATATTTTTGAAAGAAATAACAAATTACAAAAAAAAACACTAGTTGAGTCTATTTAATTTAAAACATACCCCTGGAAGATGTAAGTATTAAAGATCGCACTATTCAAATATTAGATTATACCATATTATCAGATACTTACGTTGAATGAGAGCCCGTTGGCTGCCGGCAAAACTTTCTGCCTACTTTTAGGCCGCAATACAATATATCATAATTTTAATATTTCTTTGATTTAATATATAACATGCATATATATTTATACATACATAAAGATAACATGCATACATACATACAGATTGCATTTGAATTTTTATATTTTATAACTAATGCACATAATTTATAGGGCAGTAATTTTTATGATTTCTTTGCTTGCCTTGTAAACAATTAATTAATTATCACATTTTCTAAATCGATATATATATAATGTACTTATATAAATTGTATTGATGGACTATTTGATTTGAATACTCGGCTCAATTTATTGTGGCCGTAATTGGAGATGGCGTCGAGAATCATTTGCCCTTCTGCGCCTCCAAATAGGTGGCGGTAAAGGTGAGTAGGCGATGTCTCTGCTTCAAATTGCGTGCGCGAACATGGGACGAATTCAACTCCTCGGTATAGCTGCCGGGAAACCAGCCGACAGCTCCATCCCGAATACGTTCGCCCTGATACCAACCTAGATGGGGAAAGGGATGTGAGCTAAAATGTATATCAATTTCTATAATCGATCACACTTACCATCCGGCAGCTTGCGTGACACATTAACCACGTCGCCCAGCTCCAGCTGTAGCACATCTGGCTCATCAGATTCGTAGCTGTGCTTGGCAATAACCTGCGGACAGTCCCACGACTCGTACAGTTTCTCACCAGGCGTTTCCGCCTCCGGTGGACGCATGGCCTCCAGCCAGCGCTGCTGGTCCGACACTGATGGGCACGACAGCACCTGAATGAAGGAATTCGGATAAGTTGCTATTCAATTGGAATTAATGTATGTGAACCTACAAGTTCTATTGTCTTGCGCTCATTGTTCTCCAGCAGCGTCATCAGCATGAGATTTTTGCTAGTCGGATCCTTGATGTCTTTGGTGGGCAGCTGGGGCAGATTGTCGCCAGATGTAAGGGTCAACATACTCCTTGGACAGTAGTCGAACACCGAAAAGTTGGACTCGCCCTTGCGTTTGCAGAGCACCAGCAGATCGGAGAAGAGGAATGCATAGATGCTCGACTTGGTGAAGCGTTTGCCAAACGTCAGCTTCGCATCATCGCCGCGCCACATTAGGTGAGTCAACTCACCCCGTTTGACCAGAAAGCGAGGCTTGGCCCCCTGCTTGGGCACACCCATTGGCGTAATGGCAAGGGCGCGTATATGACTGGGGAACTCTAACTGCTTGGAGATACGCTCCAACTCGTAGGCTTGCTCACAACGATTGGCTGCCTCATTGCACTGGGCGACGATTTTCTGGACGAGCGCCAGGGCTAGTTTCCAGCTTTCGTACTCCTCGGCATTGTGTGGTGACTCCTTGCTAAACACCGCATCGATGAGCAGTGGAAGACGCGTGATTCGCTGCATGGGCAGCATGAGGAATGAATGCAGATTGAGTCCACAGCAACTGGGACTGGACTCCAGCTTTTCCAGCTGCTGCTGGAACGCTCCATTCTTGGCCTCCTTCAAACGACGCAGCGTGCGATCCATGCGTCCCTGATGCTCACAGAATGTGATGTAGACATGGAAATGCCGCTCAGCAATCTCATAGATGCAACGGCTCAGTCCGACCAACATAATATTGTTCTGCCAGCAACATTCCAGTTCGGTTAGCAGACGCTCCGAGCATTCATGCACGGGCACAATGTAGGAGAATAGCGCCTTGCGATCCTTCGTGCTTAGCACGGAGCTATCGCAGAAGGCGGTATTGTTCATAAAGTGGCGACGCAACAGATTGAGAGACTTCAAATAACTCGCCTCCGAAGTCATGATCTCGAACTTGGCCTCCTGTAGGCCACGCTCCCGCGGCGTCAATGTAGCTGCAAGCAAGCATAAGTTATAGAAATCAAGTTTACCATATAGTTAAGCTTAGATGCTTACGTAGAATGCAGGAATGGATGACCTCTGGTATTTCGCTCCACAGCGTACGCGATGGCCCGTTCTTGGGCTCCACCAGCTGCAAAGCACTGGGACGTGGCTTTTGGGTCTGCTGCGTCGGTTGAGTTTTGGAATGCGCATTCTGCCCAATCTCCTCATAGCCATCCGTTGAACTCTCATGCTCCTCTAGATCACGTGTAATGGACTAGAATGGATCAAGATTAGTATTTGGTTTATTTATTTAAATTTGGGTTCGCTTACCTCCAGCTTGGCTGCGCTGTAGACCTGGTAAAGTGGTTCGTTGAAGAACAAGCTGTGCGGCTGCAGCTCATCGCCCAGACCCGCCTCGTTGCCCGTAGAGACGCCAGAGCTGCCGCTCGAGCTGGCCACGGAGATGCCGCTGGTCTGATACAAGCCTGACTCGGTATACCATGAGCTGCTGCCGCCACCAGGCGTGATCGGTGTGGGCGTGGCTGGTTCATCATTACCATGTGGTGTTGTTGGCGCTGTTGTTGACTGTTTGAAGACACCGCATTCCGCATACCAAGAGGTGGGTGAATGTGGATCCAGCTGCGTTCTATTGCTACTGTTGCGCAGTTCTACTGACGGCGGCGGCGGTGGCGGCGGATCATGCGGGCGCACGCCAATAGTGGTGCGACGACGCATGGCCTTCGCTTCCTTCTTGGTCTTCCGTGCAATCGTGGAGAACTTTTGCGACTCAGCGCTGGGCGTTGACGGCATAACGGGTATATCGCCCGAAGACGCCTTCTCCGAGAAGCCCGAATCCAGTTCGCCAGAGCCGTGATGCTCCTGCTGCTGCGGCGTTGCGGGATCCTCAATGTAGAACGTGCTGCGCGTTGGCGTCAGCGCCGCCAGCTGTTTCGTATCAAAGGTGGCGCCTACCAGGCTCTTGCGTAGCCTCGATCTCAGACTCTTGCCATTCTTTTGCTTGGGTCTCAGCAGGCTAGCAGATGACGACGACTGCTGCTGCTGCTGCTGATCCTGTTGACTCTGAGTGGCTAGCAGATTGCGCTCGGAACTGCTCAACGAGCCGGCCGGCTCATATTGCTCCTGCTTGCGGCACTCCACATAGAACTGTGCGCCGCTGTTCTCGTAGATCTTTTGCTGGCTGCCCTTCTGCGACTTCTTGTTCGAGATAAAGTCCTTGAATTTGCGCACTATGGCATAGACTTGATTCTGTGGCGCCGGCGGCAATGGCAGTCGATGATTCCGCATATCCACGCCGCTGTCATTGTGCTGCCAATGGAATTGGATTAGATGTGGTGTCTACTCTCTTAAGACTTGGAATACTTACGTGCTGCAGGCGCTGCTCTGGCTCCGTATGCTCATCGCTGTCTGTTTCAAACGAATCGTAGTCATCCGAATATATTTGATGTTCGCCCAGCGCATGCGCCGATGCTGATTGCTGCTTGCTGCGCTCCTGATGCCGTTTGTGATGCTGCCCGGGCAGCAGCTGCGTCGAGTGACGCTTGTTGAGCATCGGCGACAACGTCTCGTAATAGTGGTCCGAGTCATCTATGAAGCAGAAGAAGTGAAAAGGCAATTAACTGATATTCAATTCCCACTCAATCCAGGTAAACTCTTCTGCTCTTGGCTGCTGCCTAAACGAACCTACAAAACTGCTGACCAGCACGCACTCTCGATTCGCATCGCCTGGCTCCACATGGCGAACACGCAGCACAGTTTGGTGCATTGGCAGGCGACGCTGCTGCAGCAGTTGTTGTTGCAGCTGCCGCTGCTGACTGATAGCGGCTGCCTCATTCTGATAGATGGGCTCCGGCCCTGGCTCCAACTTGGAGATTGGCTCGGCATTCAGGTAAACACTGCTCGTTGGACACGTGATGCTCACCTCGCCCACAGCGCGTGGCCGACGCTTGCGTGGCAGTGTGACCAGCTGCTGCTGTTCGCCTGAGGCGTTACCATGCGCGTGGGCGTGGCTGCTTTGATTGCTATTTGTACTCAGGCTGCTCGTGCAGCTGAGACGTTGACTGTGATTAAGGCGCGTTGCCATCGCAGCATATTTTAGACACTCAATGCGTTTGCTCTCCTATCGACTACTGCACTAAATGAACACGAAGAATTAATTCAATGTTTTGTTGCTGTTGCTGTTGCTTTTGTTGTTGTTGTTGTTACTGTTGTTGTTGCAGCTGAACTCTTGAACTCCCTTTGCAGTGGCTCAATTGAAAGCAATTAAGCGACAGCGTTTATTGCCCTTTTATAGCTGCCTTAAGGCAAAGGGAAGTTTGCAGTTTCTTACCAGCGAGGGCTGTCTCTAAAGTTTACTATGCACTGCAAACATATCTCAATGCTGCAACAGCTGACAGATCTTTAATTATTTAACATTGAGCTACAGTTAAGCTTGCACTTTGTTGCGAGGGGTAATACTGAAGTTCAGAGAAATTTAAAATTTATAACTTTGTTATGCCTCAAGGCGCTTTTGAGCGAGTTGATTTTAAAGTTGTAGAGCTTAAAGTGTAAAGTTAACTTGATATTTGCTTATTTTTAAAGATTTACATAATATATTGAAAAACTAAATTTTTCAATTGTTAAAAAAATACTATAATAACATTATAGCTATTTTGTTTCCGTTATAAAAAGGTTGTCTCTGAAGTTGTTATATAACTTAGCATAACAAATATATCTCATTTGTTAGTCTGTTTGACTTAAGACTAGGTCAATACTATTCCTAGTCTGCCTATTATATTAAACACCATGAAACTAATCAATATGCTAATAAAACCTTTCTTATAAAAGTTCTACATCTCGAAAAACAGCTCAGGGTCAGACCAAGTAAAAGTATTTTCGAGTTTCATAGTCCAAAAGTGTTTGCTTGTTTATCACACTTTTATCAGAGTTGAAACAGCTTTAGTTATTTAACTTTCAATTCGAATGCTTGAACAGAACTTTAACATGTGGCAAACGTTATGCTTGCAGCCTTTGTGTGCACAGTCAGAATAAAATATGTTAATTAACAACTGGGCTAAGCTAATTAAACAAGAATTTCTAATATATTATTTATATGCATATTGTTTATAGTTTTTAGCGAACTGCCCTCGTTGTGCTCTACTCTACGCTAATTAAGCAAATTTTTCAAGTGTCACAATATTATTTTCTGGTAAAAGTATTGAAACAACGCGGCGTATGCGTGATTTTGAGGCATGCAAAATAGCGCAAATTATAATGAAACAACACGCTTCAATGCAGCTACAACAACAGCCATGAAAGACAAAACAAAGTCGAAAATGTATATAAAAAAAAAACAGCAGGTACAATTGGGCACCCAAAAAAGCGTTAGACTAGATAATACCAAAGCAGCGACACACAAAACACACTCGAATATTACGTATACGCAGCGAAGCGAACCGGTTCGACAGAGAGATAATAAAATAGAGTATCATATATGGGCAGGCAGACAGCAGCTGGATGCCTAAAGCTGCTCAAAAAATTGATGTATATAGACAGAGGGAGGGAGACGTGATAAAGAGAGGAAGAGAGCGACAGAGAGTGAGAGAGGGAATTAGTGTAACACGATATTTTTGTGTGGCTTGTTGACTGGACAAAGCGACACTTGTTGCTGCTGTTGCTGCTGAAGCGTGGGACGCAACTTGTTTAGCTTTGTGGCCAGTTGCCGTCACTTGCTCAGAATCGTGCACCAAAGGCCAATTTTATAAGCCAATTTCTACGAAACGTCGTTCTTTATTAAAGAGGGGAAATGGGAGAAGTGAGCTTAAGAACTGGAATGTCGGCTTCTAGAGAGCTCGAAAATATATATAATTGGATTACATATGAAGTCCATTTAGAATATAATAAATATATAAGGAAGGCAACGTAACATTTGGTTCAATAACGTTTTATGGCCGCTTGATAAATGAAGAGAGAGTATATTGATTTTTTTCACTGTCTATATCTATATTTATATCTACATCTAAATATCTATATCTATATCTTTAACTATATCTATATCTTTATCTATATATACCGATATCTATATACATATCTATATCTATATCTATATATATTGTTTATATACAAATCTCCTTTATCTTCTACATTTTTACAGTAATCAATACAAAATTTTACAGTTAACCAACTGTTAACCTTCTGCTCAGATTAACCTATTTAATTATGCGAGCATTGGGTCATTACAAATCACAATATAACAAAATTCTTGCAGCTTTTTGGACCATGAACGAGTGCTATACAGTTGGTTGCGCCCAACTGCTACGTTCTTGTTGCTAAACTAATATTATAAAATTTAATAATAAAATTGTTTGCTCTTTGAGCAAAACTGTGTAAAACTTTGCACTATTTAGCAAAAGTTCTAGCCTAGTTTTTTTGCTCAGTGTATTGCGTGAGGCGGAAATGGGAAAAAATTCGTTCTCTTTGGTTACTTTTTGGCCAATTATTGAAGATTTGCGTGTGGGCCACGCACAATGTTGAAACAAAGAGTCTAGACAAACAACAGATACAACTAGACATATACGTATATATATATATATATATATATATATATATATATATATATATATATATATATATATATATATATATATATATACATATATATGTATGTATGTATGTAGAGACATGCATGCAATTACTGCAATCTGTTGAGATTAAGAGATGAAAGCAGTTCTTAGCCTTGGCAAAGTGCAAGCCAAGCGGTTCACTTGTTACACTCTATCCCTATCTGTCTCTCTCTGTCTCTCTCTATCTCTGTCTTTTACTTTATCGCGGTCTCTGTTTTAAAAAACAACAATTTTTAATTTTCAATGCAGCTGAAACGTTTCTATTGATTGATCGATTGACGCATTGAGGTCAAACTGATTAAAAGCCAAACGATGTCATTGTCGAAGATGGAAACAAGTTGGATATAACAGCTTAAGCCGAAGAATTAACAACAAAAAATCATACATTTTTCATAGCTGCTTTTCCGCAATTGCGTGCCTGCAAATTGGGTGTCTTTCCACTAAACTTTCGCTTTTCTTTTTTACTTTAATCATCGCAAAGCGGAGCTAAAAGTCAAATAGGCGAACGTGCCCTGTGTAAAAGTTGAGCTGAGAATTAACAGTCGTCGCATTGCCTGCCGGGTTTTTAACTAGTTTCGCCTGAGAGTCTAATTGCAACGCATTTAACATTTTACAGTTTTTGTTTTTAGGTATTTAACAGTTAACAGTTGGGCGTCTTGCATTTGACTTCCCAATTAGCTGCGTCGCAACGCTGCGCTGCCTGCGTTCACTGAACTTTTTCAGTCGGCTGCGGCTGCGGCGGCCATATTGCAAAAGCTTTTGTGTTTTTATGGGATATTTTCTTTTTGTTTCGAATGCTCCTCTTTTGAATGCACATCTTTAATGCATATGGATTACGTTTGATTTTGTAATTTCGCACGCTTTGCTTTTTACCTATTCAACTATTTACTATTTCTTTATGTACTTCAATTTCGCTCAATCATTGCAGTGTTTTTTTTTTTTTTTTGGTTTGAGTTCCTTAAGCTGTTTGCCGTGTTTTTATTTTTCAACTGCTTTTAACTTCTTCAAGGTTGTGCGCTTTGTAGTATTTCTAGACTGGTTTTCGCTTAACAATTTCGTCATCTCTCAAAGCAGCAGCAGCAACAGTATTAACGGTGAAACATAAAGCTTTCAGTTGACGCTGGTTTGCGGGTGTAGGGCAAACGGGACGGACGAGCGAATTCAGTTTCGGTTTTAGTTCGTGACGTCTCGGTGCCTTTGCATAAAAGTACATCACAACAACAACAATAAAGCTAGCAATAACAACAGCATGCAATAATTCAAAACTAGCCGCGCAGCCCGCTGCGCAGTCAACGCTGGCGTCTGACGCTGGGGTCGTTTGCTAATTTTGCATGCACCACATGCATTTTTCTTATATTGCTTTTCTTTTTCACTTTTCACTGAAGTTAAGCGCACGTACGCATAACACCAAAAAACATTAATTATAAATTATTATAGAAAATATATTGCATCGCTTTTTCACATTAAACACACATAAATTCCACTGGTTGGGCGACTTTTCGACAGGCAGCGTCCGCAAAACGAACCGAACGTGGAAACTGACGCGCCGAGACTGGGCAGCTGGGAGAGAGACCGAGACTGAGACTGACACAGAGGCAGTGAGTGGGCTCGAGCGACAATGCGAGTGTGTTTGTGAGAGACAGCCACAGATACCAGTTGCTGTTGTTGTTGCTACTGAGGAATGAAAATTGCACAGCAATATGCTCAACCGTCCAGTTTATGGGCATTGTTTACGTGCGCGCGCGCTCACAACTTGTTGTTGCCTTGTGTGGAACCTGTCGGGCAATGCGCACTGCCAGGCGCCAATTGCAATTGCAATTCCAATTCCACTTCCAATGTTCGATGCTGGTGTGAGAAATGTGCGCACAGTGCTTACTCACTTGATATGCATGCGAGTGTGACTGTGCTTGTGTTTGTGTCTGCGCTAATGTTGTGGGGTTTTACTCTCATTTGCATTGGGCATAATTAACTGTAAGTTGTGTTTGTCGTCTTATTAGTTTCCATTTCGTTTGGCATTGTTTACATTTTGACATTTCTTTTTCTTCTTGTTCACAGCACCTAAGGCAATGCTTTTAACTACCTTGACTTGGCCATCATTACCGCACATTTATCAACAAAATGAATTGTCGCTGACGGAGTCAAATCCACATTTATAATAAGTATAATTAAGGCAATTTAAGTGTCAAGTTGATTGCGCGAGCAAAAATGTAATGTGGATGCTATGTGGGGCGCAAGCTTAGCCGGTACACAAACCACATAATGCTCAGCTGCTGCTATTGCAAGCTTAACTTAAAAGCTCAGCTGATTCAATATTCTAAAGCTTTCAATTTGTGTTTTTGTAGCCCGTTTTTATATAGGAAATAAGTTTGCTAATACAAAGTAAATATTTATAATTGAAATAAAGCAACAAAGAAGAACAAGGCTAATAATTAATAGACTAAACGGAACAAGGGGCTTTGTATTTTAATAGTAGAACACGAGAGTAGCCAGAGCGAGTGTGAATGTCAGACTGATCGACTGGGAGATACTCTGTAACCATAGCTTCGCAAATATTCAATATTATAGTTTCCATCGTTACAGGGTATCAAAATATGTTGGATATATATCGTGCAAAGTCTGGGAAACCTGTGTACATTTAGCTTTGTGTGCACTATCTTATCTAATATAGTAATTTTTTGCCAAGAGGTCTTATTTTCTTCTCTTACCTTCAATGCAACTTTTGGCCTTGTTTTGTTGCAGTCGTTTGTCTCTGATGCGTTTCGACCAATCGGGACTGCGAACGCGATGCTGCTTGAAACGTTCCCGAACGCTGAAAATATAATAGGAAATATACATAAATATGCAACAGTAAATAAGTAGATGTATATATATATAAATGTATATGATAGTTATCTCTCGTACTTCATAGTGATCGATCAAGGCATGGGTAGATAGAGAGAGACTACTTCAGTGTTGGGCGCCTCACTTTCAACTGTCTGTTGAATGAGTTCGGCTATGCTTGAAGTTCTCAGATTGTTAGATACCCTACAAAGTTGCCCAAGCCAAGACAGGCAATCTTATCTGCCAGATAACAGTTGAAATTGTGGGTCAACCAATTTATATGGGTGGGTGCCTACCAATAAATAAACTGCATTTGCTCTGCTGTTGCAATGCCTGAGGAACATTTCACTTACTCAGCCAAGATCTGAGGGCGAAATGTAAATAGCACTGAGCTATATGGACAACTCGAACGTCGTGAATCGACAAATTCTTAATTGTTAAGAAATTGTTGTCTGTTCGACTGATTGAGTTTCCTAATAATTGAACAAATGACATAATAATTGTCGTAAGTATTTCTTAAATGGTGCTAAAGCGAAGTTAATTGTTGAGACAATGCAGACGTAACTGAAGAAGTAGAGTGATTTTGATTATGAGATACCCTGTATGAAGATCTGAAGTAATATATGCTATATATCAAGATAGTTGTAAGCATCTTATTAAGAGATAGAGAGAGACAGAGAGTAGGGAGAGAGTAAGAGAGAGAGAGAGAGAGAGAGAAAGAAAGAGAGAGAGAGAGAAAGAGAGAGAGAGAGAGAGAGAAAGAGAGAGAGAGAGAGTAAGAGATATAGCAAGAATGCGAATAACGAAGAGAAGATAGTGTAAGAGAAATAGAGGAGAGAGACAGACAGAGTGAGAGGGAGAGGGAGAGGGAGGGTATAAAAAATGGAGAGAGAGTAGTATTTGTTTTAGGCAGAGAGACAAATATAGAGGGACAAAGATACAGTGTGATAGAGGTAGAGACAGATGAGGGATATATAAGCAGATAAATCGACAAAAATAGCTGTTGAGCATAATAAGAAGACCATAAGACCTTTCTTTACGATTCTCATAAAGTAAATCTCGCAATTCAGGAAGCAAAATTCTAAAAAATAACTTAATTGAATCGGAAATAAATATTTGAAGATAGAGAGAGCTATCTTTGTCACGGATAAAGCTCATCTGATTCAGAACCAACTCGAAATATAATTTTATCTTAAGCAATAATAATAATTTTGACGCAAAGGTATTTTATTTCTAAACAAACAACGCATTTACCATATAAAAAGAACACAGTGCAAATGACACACCGCTAACCACTGCCGATTTCTATCTTATCGCCCACAACATGTATAGTATATAGAAAGCAAAATCGGAATAAAAATGCAAAAGCAACACAAGTGAAAAGGTAGACAATCAACGACTTAATCTGAGTTCAGCGTCTGTTCAAGATTAGACACAAATGGAACTAGCTGGACCTATTGAACGCTCTATAATAATAATATCATAATACGTTTCCATGTCTATTAACCCATTAACACTGTTAGAATTGCTTTGCAAGCAGCTGCCTTGACCCAATCTCTCTTTATATAGTTGCTTCATAGATTTGTTGTGATATTTCCGAGTATGCGCAATCTTTGGGCAACCCTCGCTTTTTTACTCGCTGCACCGATTGGCGTCAACCGGGCCGCAGTTGCCGATAAGATAAACCCAACCCAAACAAACTAATCAGCAATCTACGCAGAATTCGTTATCAATGCCCCCACCTCCTACCTCCCTCTCGCCCTTTCTCGCTCTTTCACTCTGCCTCTTTCGCTCGTTTTACTTACACAACGAACTGTGCCTCGCCGACGGCTGTGGTTGTTACCGCAGCTGGCTCCGCCTCGGCATCGGATATGTCCACCCAGGCATCGCTATTGTCACTGGAGCCAGCTATGGATGATCGCTTGTCGCACTGCTTGCCTGCGCCGCTGCTGCCCGCAGCGCTGCCAACGCCGCTGCCAGCGCCGCTGCCGGCGCTGCTGCTAGCCAGGGAGGAGCGACAGCCACTGCCATAGATCACGCCTGTAGCTAGCGAGGCTTCATATAAACTATTAGTGCGATGATCTGAAGAGAGCGTGAGAGTGGAGCCACTGCTAGACAGCTGGACGCCGGACGCTGTGGCTCCCACTGCGACTCCCTCACTCAGTCCACCTGAGTTCTTGCTCTTGCGATAGTTGGAGATGCTCTCATAGCAGTTGGAGCTGATTGAAATGGCATCCGTCTTGCTACGCTGCAACGCCAGCGACTCGTAGCAGCCTTTGATGGTGTCATAGATGTTCTCATCTTCCTCATCCGTCGAGGCTGGAGCAGCACAGGCCTTGCCAGACAGTCGACTTGGCTGTGAAGGCTTTGCCGGTGCAGGTCGCAGATTGCGTGGAGATTTGGGCAGCACGCGCTTGGGCTTGGGCAGCTCAGGCAACTCATCGCGCGTATTGCGCCCAAGTGTGCCGGTGTTTGAAGAGATTGGAGTAGTGGGCGTGGCTGGAGTAGCAAAGGATTCATAGTCATCGCTATTTCCTGAAGACCCTGCTATGGACTCATAGCCCTCCTGCCAGTTGCTCTGTGTTGCAGCTACTCCTGCTTCTGCTCCAGCTCCCGCTCCTGCTACTGCTGTTGTTGTCATTGTTATTGTTGTTGTTGTGGCCTCTTCTACCGTCTGATAGATGTCCTCCACTGGAAGCGATGTCTCCTTGTCCTTATCCATTTGGTTTGTAATCTTATACAGGCTCGACGCCTGTGGCTCAGTCTTGATCTCCGTTGAGGGCGTGATGGGCTCATACATGGGCTCCAGCTCCTGCTCCTCCTCCTGCCCCTCTGGCAGCTGCTGTGCTTCCTTGGCCAGCTGCTTCTGCTCCATGATCATTTGCTCACCCTCGATGGCATTCACCAGTGTCACATTCACCGCCTGGTTGAGCAGCAGCTGATTGTTAGACACTTGCTTATTGGCCGCCTGATAGATGAAGGAGCTATTGGGCAGCAGACGCTGCTCGAAGTCATCGTTGGCAGCGAGCAGCAGCTCCCCATCCGTGGTCTTCGCCGGCTCTCCGAGTATCTTCAACTTGTGATCCAGCACCTCGAGTGCAGCCAAGATCTTGGCATCTGCTTCCACGCAGGGTAAGACCAGCGACTGCTGCTGCTGCTCTTGCTCCTGATCCGGCTCCTGCTCTAATGTTGCCTCTTTCTCAGTTGCACAATTGGCGGGCGTGGCTGTTTTCTTGCCGCTTTTAATAAAAGGCAGCAGGCGCAGCTTCTCATAGATCGTTGCATATTTATGCTTGCGCTGCTTTTGCCGCTCCTCCGCCTCCACGTCATCCAGCTCATCGGGAGCGAGCTCTTTCAGAGTGGGCTTTGGTTTGTTAGCATCATCCAGATCCGATTGCACACCCTCATCCGTGCTGGCATTCAGCTCCACGGGCGTCTTCACCTCCTCATTGACCACCTCCAGCTTCAGCTGCTGCTGCTCCAGCTCCAGCATCAGCTGCTGTTGACTGCGACTGCGCTTGTTCCTCATCTGCTTGCTCAGGCTCAGAGTGCTGGATCTTTGGCTCATCAGCTCCTGATGCTTGCGCAGCAGCTGCTGGGATTTCTGCGGCACCACCGGCTTCTCCAGTTTCTCAAATTTCTTAATGTTCCGCTGCACCATGGAGCTGCGCTGCGATTGCGACGGCGATGGCAGCGGTGAGTTCGATTGCTCTGCCCGCTCCAGCTGTTGCTGCTGCTGCTGCACAGCTGATCGCTCCACGATCTTGTAGACATGTGAGCCACGTGATAGCCATACTCCATTCTTGCGCTTGACCTGCTCCAGCAGACGCGTATCCTTCTGTATGATCTCATTGAATTGTTGCGTCAGCTGTCGCACCACACCACCGCCGCCGCCACCGCCCGCGCTCAATTCCCCGCCAGCCACGCCCCCTTGGTGACTGTGTGTGTGATTGTGACTGTGACTGGACATGCGTCGTGGCGTGTGGTGCTGATGAAATGATTTCCCCGCATGAGTTTTGAAGCTGTATTTGCGGCGTGTGCCCGTGCTGCGATTTCCGCCCGCACGTGACGTCACAGTCCCAGAGGTCGCAATGGAAGTGAGGGAATTTGTGGAATTTACCGTTTGCAGCGATTCACTGCTGCCGCTGTGGCTGCTCGCCGCGCTTAGACTAATGCGAATTGAATTCGCTGCTGCTGCTGCCGTCGGCTGTTGGGCTGCTGCTGCTGCTGCTGACTGGTCGCTGATAAGATTCACCTGCTCGCTCGCACACACCCGATCTCGCGCTCCCCCTCGCCCACAGCTAGTCGCTTGCTCATGCTGATTATCTGATTGGGTGCACTTGGCCATGACGTCCTCGCGCTTGGGCCACTGCAAACGCTCGCCCGCCGCGTTGCCTGCTTTGACGGCGACAAAAGTCGTGTTCGAGTTAGCGTTACCGTTAGCGTCGCTGCTGCGTCGCAGTTTGCTTTGCATTTTTGCCTGTTCGGCGTTTTTGTACTTGTAGAAATTGTCCTTGTCCCGTTGCAATTGCAGCTGCAGCTGCTGCTGATGATCCGACGGCGCCTCCTGCAGATTATGCAAGCTCGCCGCGCGCTTGGCGCGCGTTTCGTGCGCGTTTGTCAGGCTGGGCCAGTCGCGCGCGTTATTAAACGCATTCACTAAACAGCTAACGGACTTGTTCAGCTTACGCAGTGTGCCCAGCCCCTGGCGTTGGGCATTCGACTCGGCTGCCTCGACGCTGGCGCTATGGATGCGCTTGCTCCAGAGCAAGCGCAGCGTTTGGACACCGCGAAAATCGCGAAAGGCGCGCGATTCACAGTTACAGTTGTTGTTGCTGTTGTTGCTTCTATTGCTAGTGTCGCGATTGTTGTTATCGTTATGTGTATCGTTATCGTTATCGTTATCGTTATCGTTCGCTTTATCGTTCACACTTGCACTTTTCACCAGCCAACCGAGTATTGTCTTTTCTCTACGCGGCGAGTTCTTTGTTGCTGCTGTTGTTGTTGTCGCTGCATTTCCATTGCATTCACTGCGCGCTGCAGCCGCATCCATATTCGAACCAGATGAGGTCGCCATGGCGTCCGCTGACAACTGCATTGCTACGATTAAGCGTGCGGCGGCGACGTCTGTCTTGGCCAGCGGCCGATGGCCAATTCAAATGGAAGCTGCCGTCGCCTCGAGGCCTGAAAGACAAAAAGAGAGAGAGAGAGAGTGAGTATGAGAGATGTGATTTTAAGTGAGACAACAACAGGTGGAGAAAGCGCATGGAAATTGTTGAAATATCTCCAAATTGAGCGGCCAAAAACGCTTGACGCATATGTAAATTATGCGCGGGGAGAGACGACGTAAAGGAGGCGTGGCATTAACAGTGGCATGCTTTATGCACACACAACTACAGCGCGAAGCTGGCCTACATGAAACAAGCGCCACAGGAAATGAGCCACTCAAACAACAACAAGCAGCACACAGCAGCTCGTTAAATCAAAGTGAATTGAAGACAAACGCGCAATAAATATTGGTAAAAAGAAGATAATGCAATTCAGGTTATAACATAGATAATAATTTGAAGAAATTGTTAAGAGTAAAAGCAGATAAGATAGCGAACTAAACGAAACGGATTGCAGAGTGAAATGCGCCCAAAGGACTAATCAAATTGAGCCAAGAGCTGAGAGCTACAGAGACTTGTAAATAAATATCCATAATTGAGCTATGTGAGACTATCAGACAAAATATTACATATCTCTCATATCTGTCTTGGCTGATATAGAAAATATGCATATGCACTATTATTTTTATGAACAGCTAACTGTATATATATTGTAACAGCTTTTATCGACAAGAAATTGTAGATAAGAATAAGACTTTTAGAAAAACCAGAAAGAAATACGCAAAAATTGTATACAAAAACACATCAAAACTGATTATATTATGATTAAAAAAGATTCTAGTTCTAATCCGTTGACGTAGCTAAGGCAAAGGCTAAGCTGAACGCGCAGGCTGTCACTCAAACAAGTCTCGTCAACGAGTTTCATATTCCTAAGCTTTTCGTCTAAGCTTTTAAGCGTTAAATTTATTATTAGCCATGAAAGTGTTCCTTAGAAATTCACATAGTGTATTTTTAACGCTGATCATTTTGATATCGTTCATTCGTGAAATATAGCCAGAGTCTTTTGAAACGAGCAACGCGACGTATGCGCAACTTGTAAGCTGAAGTTGAGCGCCAACTAAGCTTTGCTTATGCCACATTGAGTGGGTTTTCGTGGCACGCATACATGCCCTCGCTTTCATACAACATTGCGTATGCGTGATATGGTTTTTTGGCACTTCGATCTTATCAAAACTTGCGCACAGTTGAAGAAAAGATATATAAAAAAGATTTATATATATAATAAAATGCTTGCCCAACTGGCAAGCCGCACACGTTGTTTGCCCGTTGCCAGCCCCACACCTGCCCGCTCACGCTTTTGTCACACACACACGCTCGCAATTGTCAATTATAATGAGCGATTGCATAAAAAGCGAACAACAAATTTCTTTGCTTCGTTGTAAAATAGTTTTTAAAGCCGCTTTTGTTGGCTGGCAAAGCCGTCTGCTTCTTCTGCTTCTTCTTCTAAGGCCCTGTCCACCCCGCTGGCCCTCTTTGTCGAACGGATCCATCAGCTGCTTGTCAGCAGTTGCGACGAACGCGTTGCGAATAACAAAAATAATTTAACGCTATGGCAAATGGTATTTAAACAAAATATTAAATAAGAGCCAGCTACACACACACACACAAACACTCGCTCAGACAATTGCAATGTAAATAAGAAGCTAAAATTGTTGATTACGCAAACGCTTATTAGCCATAACTATATATATATAGCTAGACAGTCAAATGAATAGATACATAAATATATATATATATATATGTATATAATATATATTTATATATACATATATATATATATATCTTTTCATTTTCGGCTTATAGAAATGTGGCCTTAAAACCTTATTGTCATCAAATTTCATGTGCGTAAGAAAATAAATAAATATTCATTGAAAACTTTATAAACGTAATTAAGTGAAAATACGTAAGAATGCTGCAGTCAATCGACTGCATAATACTCGTTCACAGTGCAAAATTGAAATGTACTTAGGTATTATACATAAATCAATATGCAGAATAAGTAGGCAAAATAAGTGATCCTCGCTCTGAAGCTGTGATGGGTCGGTTTTTTACAGTTCGCACTATCAGATGAGGACATATTTGTCTTTCACTTCAAAGCACAAAGCACAAAGCCAATATACTTACTTTTCACATTGTAAACGAGTATGAAAACAGTCTAAAGCTCAGTTTCCCATGCCTCGTTTTTATACACACATAAATATCAATTCAATGTGTGATTCTTGCTTATCTGATGTGAATTTCAGAGATCTGTTGAAATCCTAATCCCATGCCTATAAATATGTATTCGGTATTAGCATGCAAAATCAGCTGAAAATTCAATTAGTTTTGAAGTTTGTCGAAGCAGTCGCAACGCATTTAAATGGATATTTCTATGCGCTAGTCGTTGCCTTATTGGATCGCTCGATCAGCCAATGTCAGCGGCTGTCACCTGTTGCAAACTAAGGCCAGGTGAACAACTTTTTGGCTTGGCCAACAGCGCACAATAAAAACTTTGAATGAGAAGAAAAAAAAACAGCAACAAATGCTTTGCATATTAAAGAGTTAAGCGATAAACCAAAATGGAAAAGGTAAACAATGCAAAAGTTGAAGTAAAATGCATAAAAAAGTAAAATATAAACAAATATGTGAATGAAAACAAAAGTCTGCCAGATATTCCAAAGAGACTCACTCTCTATATATGGAGTGCTGCACCTGCAGCTGGGACATTTTATTTACATATATATATACCCTGTAACTATTGAATATAGATAAAGTAAAGTATGTTGTTGTTGAGAGTGAGCATGAAACTGATTGAGGAATAGATGCTATTGGCTGTAAATGCATATGCCAAATTCTTAAAGCTAGACGTATAAAGAAAGTGCGAAAGTGCGAAACTTTATCCAATGTCCAGGGTATCTGCTGGTCAAGCCCTGTAACTTTCAAGCTATTTCTTATATAGTTTTTATGCATTTGCATGCCTTAGGCGTAATGCAAATGACTTTTCGTAAAGATGCAGCGCCCATAAGCAGATGCAGATGCAGATGCAGATGCAGTTGAGACGGATGTGCATTATAAGCAAACAAAAACCTGATCATAATTTGAGTGAGACTTTTACAGTTAGTTGCATTTGACCAATTCAAAAGTTAAGGCCTAGCTGGGCTGGGTGAAAGTGACAAAAGTTATAAAAAAGAGATAAAGATAAAGAAATAATAAAAATAACTGAGTGAATGAGCTGAATGCAAATGCCAAGCTGCAGCCTAATGTCTGCCCAATGACTGATACCATTATTGTTCATCATTCCAGGCACAAGAATGGGCGATTAGACACGCATTGGCTAATGAAACAATCAATGGCAAGATAAGCTCGCTTTGTGCAACCGAATGAATGCGGAAAAAGAGCCGAGATAAATGCAAATTATTCAACATGATAATACAAATAATACCTATACACACAGATTTATATATATATGTACACATATAGAAATTTCAATAAATTAAATCAAGCATAATTTATTGATATTAATGCAAAGAAGCTGCTGCGACAAATCTCAAGCTCTTAAGTTGACTTAAAAAAATTCTCATTAAAAATTGTGAAAGTTTACTTTTCTTTTTCTTTACGGCCTTTTGCTTTGCTTTTTGCTTCTTCTTTCTTTTGTTTTATTTGACTAATACGGCGACTGGCTAATGAACTGTCCCGCTAAAGATTTAGTGCTGAAGAAACTAAAAATGAACTCAGTTCATTTTCCAAATGATACAGAAGGAAGAAAGTCAGATAAAGTTGTAAAAACTAATTGAAATTGATTATAGATTGCATTTTTAAAACAATTTCTCCAATTTATGCTTAGTTATGTTAATAGTTAACAGTAACAGTAGCTCTTTGTAGGAAAATGTTTGCTATGGAATGAATATATGAAATCCTTTTTATTTTTGGTCTTTTAGATTTCGACGTAACTGGCTCTTTATGTGGACTCGATACAATATTATTGTTAAGACTGTAATAAGTCTGTTAACTGATTTTACAATATGGCCAAAAAAAGCATATGGAGTGTTTGGCTATATTTTATTTGTATGATATAAGATTTTATATTCCGGAAGTTGATTTGTTCGTAAGCCTAGTTGATTGTATCTATGTAATAGGCTTTACTAACTTGTATTGCAAATTCACATTGAATTCTCTTTTATTTATTTATCATATTTTAACCGTTAAATCGCACTTTACGTCACACTTCACTCACAACCCAACCAGGACCTTCGACTGAAAATTATTTGTTGTCTAATATATTCAAAGAAGCTTGCATTTGTTTTTGCTTACGTTGGTTGCCCCGACAACCAATCCACATTGAATGCAACCACCAACAATCACTCGACAGACTAAAAAGAACTTGCCTCTGTCGGACGTTGGCAACCCCTAAAAAAGACGACGGAAATTCAACCCTAAATCGTCAATGCCATACATTGGGGCTGGTCAACACGGCGTATGATTTACACCACATTGAATTAGCGTAAACAAATATCAAAAGTTAAGGGCGACTGGCTCAACGGTCGATAGTTTTCATTATTGCCCACTGCGGCTCCCTTTGTGCGCTTCGGAATTGGTGAAGTATCTTTCTTTGTATATGTATTACGCGTCTCTGTTTTCACTATATATTCATTCGTCTTATGTCTGCCATTTCGCCTTGCTCCAAGCAAATTCAATTAACAAAATTATACTTCGCCTCACACATAGGAATATTCTTTAAAGATAACGTAGGTTATATGGTATATTAGTACAGATATTGCATTTATTAGCTATAACTCCTATGATCTCTGAGTTCCATTAGTCAGCTCTTCTATATCTTTGAGTTTTTAGAGATACAATACACCAAAGTTCCGTCTCTTTAGTCTCTGACTTCAATGACACTCTATACATTATACCACTATATTATAAGATGGCCTCTTGGCACTTTTATGATACACTTAATAGTTTCATATTTATAATAAATCTCTATACATACCTAATTTCATAAGTGTAGCTCTTGTAATTTCAAAGTTCGTTGGGTACTCAGTGAAGGACACACGGTAATTATATATATTTTCTGCTCTAAAGATAAACCCAATATAAAATTTCTTGCGCAAAACCGCAATCCAAATTTATAAACATCAACACAAATAATATGTTCATAAAAGTATAGGTATATATATCGAACATATAATACCTAAAAGAACTGATAAAGCTGTCGATTACTCATATACGGTTTCTTTCTGTCGACACACATATATCGACAAATATGTACGTATTATTGACTATACCTATATAAACTAATTAGTCACATTTGTAATATGTACCCAGATACGCTTTTGGCTAATGCCAATGCATCTTTCGTGTAGTTGAAGTTTTTGGTATCTATTTATAGTGCATATGTGTGTGTATGTCCGTATGTACTAAATAGTTAACTGCATTCCAAGCATTTTACACAAACTCAGAAAGAACCGCAACAAAAGCCAGTCGGTGGAGCGGCGGCTGCGCAGGGGGCGTGGTGGGCGCTGAAGGCAGTCTTAGAGACCGCATAAGGCACAGAGGCGTGTAATTAGCGTGCAGCATTGGCAAACTGAACTTAATGTTGCTTGTAAAAAACCTTACCTAGGGTATTATGAATTTGTTAATAAATAACATATAAGAGAAGACATCTCTTTAAACTTAGTATATTTAGAAATATAATTATATGACTTAGAGCGTTGTATACAAACATAAGTAAATATTTAACAATTAGTCAAAAATTTAGTTATTTCAGCAAATAAGTTTTTGTTTTTTTTATTGTTCTTCAAGCTTACTTAATCAGTGCTTCGTATATAAAAGAAAACCAGTATATTATATATAATACAATGATCTAATACATATAAGACAAATAGGTGTCAATAAAAAGTGTTCCGTATAAATTCTAAATCAAGCGTATTCAATGGTCGTTAAGTATCTTTTTTTTTATTCTTTTTTGTTGTCTTTCTCTCTCGTTGCTAACACAACGGTCGCTGCCTCTGCTTTAGCCACTGCCGCCTAACAGTTAGATGAACGCTGAGCTCAGCTGAGCTGTAGGCACAACACGGCCAGCGTTAGCCATAGGCCAGGCAGAGGTCAGTATCAGAGGCCAAACGCACAAGAAGACGACAAAAAAAGTCACAGCTAAGCTGTTTACAGTTAAAGAATAGCAAGAAAAAATAACACCAAAATGCAAAAGTCTCATTTCATTTAATTACCATTAAGTCAGGCCACAGCTATACAAGCCGAGGAAGAAGCAGCAGCTGCTGTAGCTGAAGCTGCCATATATAATCCACAACTAGGTAGAAAGAAGACAAAACATATAGCGCAAAAAAAAACACTTTGCAGGCGCTCAAATTGACAGGCTTGGCAGACCCCGCACACATGCACACACACACACGCGAGCACAGCCTGTTCTTGGTGAAATTTTTAGTGCAGAAGCCGTTGGTGTTGTTGTAACTATTTTTATGTGTGGGCTTTTGTGGCCAAGTTGTTTGGCTAGATTCTTGGATCAATTTGATTTTGTGGGCGTTTCACTTTTGCCAGCCACTTTCATTTCACCTTACACACACATATTCACTTTGTGTGCCAAATTTTGATTACATCGATTATTGCACATCATATTCAATAGCGAAGACAAACATTAAGCACAAATAAACAGTTTAATATGCGCGCGCAGCTCTCGACAGCGAACACACACATAAACACGACATACCAAGACTAAAGACAGGGGAAAAAGACAACCGCACAGACCGACGACCGCAGAGCAACTGAATGTCGAAGCTGCTGCTGCTGTTGTCGCTGTGGCGCTGGGCAGCGTCGCGAGCAGAGCACAGCCAACTTCGCTGCAAAGAGAGCACGACCAACTTCACTGTGAGCGTCGCTGAAACGTCGCGACGTCTGCGCTTGCGTCGTTGCGCATTCCTTTGTGCATTAGCTGCATTTTGTTCTGATTCTTATGCTTTTCTTCTCTGCGCTGACTGCGCAGCATTTCTCCGCAAGTATGCGACGCCGCCTCAAACCCCTTTTCATCTGCCCACATGGCGGATGCAACTGGCATGTTGCACTGCTGCTTAAACAGCGCTTGTTCTTTGTGGCAATTGGTGATGTTGCGTTCATTGGCATTTGCCTTGTAGGCATAAGCGTTTTAATTAACTTAACAAATTTTAATTAAGTCGCTGGGCACTCTAATTGATTTAAAGCTGCTGCCATCTCCAGCTCCACACCTCTGTGGAATGTGTCTGCACAATTGGCGCAAATCCCATTAGAGACGCGCACGGAAACAAGTTTTGGTTTTGTGTTGTGACGAAAGCCAAACATCAAAAAACACACACACAAACATAGCCAAATGCTGAAGAGCGCGCTAAAGACCCGACAAAAACAAATAAGAAAAATATACAAAAAAAAAATCGAATACCCGTTCGACTTGCAAGTTCTTACCAAGTTCAACGGACAGCTGCACAAAGCAAACGACACAAAAAACAAAAACGCAAGCAAACGCAAAAGCAATATAACGTTTATTGCTTTTGCTTTTTGTGTGTTTCTTGTGTGCGAGCGAGACGCAACACGAGCCCACATGTCTTAGGGTGACCATGCCGAGCTGTTAAAACTATTATGGTGGCCAAAATATTGGAATGCGTTTAACAGGCGCGTACCAAACATCGCCGGGCATCAAACTAGGCCCCTCAAAAAGCGCAGACAATGCCAAATAAAAAAAAGTACTGTGCGAACATTTCGCAAAGCTTCAAACAGCGACAGCGACCCGCAAACCTGGTTTTCATTTTCATTTTCATTCAATTCAAACAGACAGCAAAAACAGCAGCCTAGAGGAGGCGCAGGCGGGCGTGGCATGTGGGGCACAGCATGTGGCAAGAAATAACGACAAGAGTACGGCTAGCATTGCATTTGCCACACACTTGTTGCACACTCGTCGCCAGCCCCTTGGCCACGCCTCCTCACTAATTTGCATTTGTGCGCCACATCTGTTCCACGCCTCACACGCCCATCCGCCCATTCGACTGCCACATGCGCCGCACAGCCAATTCATCATTTGCAGCAAGAGCAGAAAAAAAACATTCAAATGGAGCTTTAATTATTGCCATCTTTTTTTTCGGACTTGCGAAATTCGACGTGAACTTTTCTACTATCAAAACAGAAAAAAACATCTCCATTTAGGTATTTAATGGATCATAAGTATGCTATATATAGATATAATTAGATATAAATCATATATCAAAAGTTTCACCTGAAAAGAAATACTAAAATCTCGTTTCTTATTTATATTTAAAACATAAATTCTAATTGGATATGAAATGGACTAATTTAATAAAAGCCCTTTTCAAATCAAACTTTCTAATTGGATTGGGGTATGTGATAACTAATTGCAATTGGCGAGCTTTCAAACTTAATTTCCAATTGGACGATATTAAGTGATATGTAATTAATGAGTTTTCAAAACTGAATTTCTAATTGGCCTAGTTAATCAATGATTCTATTTTAAAATAAAATTTATAATTGAATTTTTAATTGGATTAGTTAGCTAGCTGTACTATTCACATTTGTCGTCTAATTTCGGAGTCTTTCAGATCTGCCCAACCGCGCAGGTGCAATATACGTCAGACCTTTCAGCTGCGTTGAGAGAAACAACTTTCCACATGTCGCATGGAACTAGTGAGCGTAGCATCAGCGGGTATACGCGATTGTGACAGCATTTTGTGGACTTTATATGAGGTAAAGCTAACACTAGTCCGAATTAGTTTCATTCCCAAATCAGTGGCATGCATCAAACCAACATACCCCAGCTACTACTATGTGCTTAGGGTATCTGAGTAGAAATTGAAATATGAAATCTAAAATTTGATATGGCAAATTTTCACCTGTGGCTGAGTTCTAAGCGCGCGACCTTGTCTCTGGTGGGGTGGGGGCTGGGGCTCTACCTAATTTAAACGTGATTTGTGTCCAATTCGAAGCGAGAGACTGTGTGCCACGTACTGAGCGCGATCAACGGCCAATGATTCGTGATTAATCAGTTAACTGAAACCAAATCGCAAAAGGAAGACGAAGAAGAAGCAGAAGAAAGTTGATAGAAAATCAGCTAGAGAACGCGTGGAGCACATAAATTATAAACTATATAAGCGGCATGAGTCCAAGTAAAATGTACCAACTATAGAATTCGGAGTAAAATATGTCAGACATAATTCGGAGTGAAATAATTATGTAAAAGACCTAATTCGGAGCGAATTCTGCTAACATATTTGATTGTCGAAATCCAAGGGAATATTTTGATGTCATAATACATTAATTCGGAGTCAAATTTACTGATTTCTTTAGACGACTCTAAGTGAAATTCCGGAATTCGATCAAATTCGGAGTAAAAACATACGAAATATTTATGAAATTAGATACACGAGAATGTTTTGCTTGACGAGTCATAATTCGGAGTAAAAACGAGTTGTTCTGACGTTCAGACTCGTAAATGCAGCTCTATAGCAGTTGCTTCCCTAGTTGGCTCTATGCTTATCAATTTATAGGTTCGGCCTTGAGCTTTGGTTTTCCCACAAACAAGTGGATTATTAAGTTTAGAATACCTGTCTCTATCAACTCGCACTTTAGATAAGAGGACATACGTATTTATGTGGAGTGAGCTCATCTCATGACTAGTGCACGTTGAATGAACTCTCTGGGCCAGTTGAGTGGCCAGCTGAATGGCTAACAGAGTTGAGTCGCCCACCAGTTGACATCGTTTCAGAGCTGCCAAATTGTACAACATTGAACTATATAGAATGCTATACATATATATATATATATTTATTCAATGTGAAATCATTGTCGCACGACTGGCCCAAATGCCGAACGCATAACAATGAGCGCAGAAAACATCAACTTCGATGTGGAATTTCACAAAATATAAACATAAATAAATTGAGGACTGTGAAAAGGAACATAAAGACGACAGCTGATGATCATTAGAGCTGACAACTTAATTATAATAAGAGTGAGAAACGTGATGAAAGCTAAGATTGATCACTGATCAGTCGGGCAATTGATCGCGCAACAGTTCTCAATGATCAGTGGCAGAAGTTACCTATGATCAGTTATATAATTGGTCACTGATCAATAATAGAAGTGATCAGTGATCATCAGGATCACAGAATTTATTATGAAAGAATATCAGAATGGATCACTGAAACTGTTCACTGATCAGCAGCAGCTCTAGTGAAAAAAGGAGCAGCTAAAGACTTGATCGCTGATCAGAAGTGATAAGTGCTCAGTAAGAGAATTGAATCTGTCACGCTCAGAGTTCATCAAAGATCAATCGCAGAATTAATCATAATTTATTCATAGAATTGATCACTCATTTGACGCACAATTGATCACTGATCAGCTAAGCAGCTGATCAGTTTTAGTCGCTGACTTGGCAATTCGTAAAATGTCAAAAACTTGTTAAAAGTCAAAGCTATTACGTGTTCAACTACTGAAACTCACTTAGATATATGTATATATATTTATATATATATTTATATATTTATATATATATATATAAATATATATATCTGTACATTTAGTATAAAATTGCTGATGTTAACTGTATGCGAAAGCAAAGTTCATTGTCTGAGCAACTACTACAATTTGCGAGTTTGCGAATGCGAAATTAAAATTCGAGAGCGGGAAAAACAGCTGCCACGTGCGTGGCGTGGCTCGGCGTGGCTAAACTTTTCTGTGAGGCACTGTAATTGACCGGTTTGCAAACAGTTTGTCCAGCATGCAGCACTTGCCTCGCTTTCTTCGGCGTCATGATCATGATCACCATCATGATCATGAGTCACAGCCACAGGAATGCCCAGTCCAATAAAAAAAATCACAAAACCCCAACAAACTAAAGTCGAATGACGAGAAAAAACAGGTCAGCCGCTACACTCACCAAAAGAACCGCTTAAAATGCAGAAATTGGGGAATTTTTTAACATAAACTTGGAAAAAGCTAAAGTGGAAAAAGAATTGGCAGAGCTTCACAACTGAATTGCTCTTTAAAGCTGGAACTAACTGAACTTAAAGCAGGAAGAACCCTTTGACGTCTTCGAAATTGAGGAACATCGCTGAGATCTTAAGTTGAACCACATAAAGGTGTCTGACAAGGCTGCTGTCTTAGTGGAGGATCACATGTAAATATTAAAGATCGTAGCTTTAAATATGTGGATAAACAATCTACTTTCTATATACCATATACATGCATACACAGAGTTTAAAATCTCTGACTTAAAACATTTCTTTGACTTTTACTTTTTCGCTTTTGTGTACTGTAAAAGAGTAAAAATAGAAGTTAAAGAGGCTTTAAGAGACTTGCAACTAGAAACCCAAACACTCATCTTCCACTTTATGAACGAGCATAAGAAGTCTCTTCCACAACCAGTCACACTGTCTATATATACATATTCCACTACTCATGAACAGACATACATAAATGACTTATACTCATGGGTTTTTTGTCTTTAATCTTAAGTTTGGTATACCAAAACGTGCTGCTTTTGCTATTTCGCTGTGGAGCGATTGCTAAAATTGTAGACCTGCTTTTCGCGCACTTATTTGTGCAGGTCATAAAGCCTATATTCCGGCCATTTCTAGGGCGCCTTTTTGGACAGTGCATCGTTAGCATAAAGCTAATTTGAGCTTGAACTGAACGTTGAGTCAGTCAACAAAAGCTGCCAGCGCGCCCACCTCTAGACCATTTGGCATCTATGAGATACATAGATG